TACAATTTACTCTTAGCCGGAAGTATTGTCAGTACAATTTACTGTTCAACAAGAGGTGTTGTAAGGTACAATTTACTGTTCAACAAGAAGTGTTGTAAATACAATTTACTGTTCAGCAAGAGGTGTTGTAAGTACAATTTACTGTTCAACAAGAGGAGTTGTAAATACAATTTACTCTTAGCCGGAAGTATTGTCAGTAGAATTTACTGTTCAACAAGAGGTGTTGTCAGTACAACTTACTTTTACTTTTGATAGATTACGTTAGTTAGAATAAAAAAAGAAAACTTGGCAGTTTTAAAAATCTAAATAATGTTAGAAACTCATGAACTACGATTAAAACGAGACCTCGCATAGAAATTTGTTCGGCCCAGAATCGAAGTACATTGTTACTGTCTTGAAGGTTGTAAACGACAGTTATTAATATTAGGAAATCCAACGATATATACGAGATAAAGATTAAAAAATAAAAATATTAAAAACTCACATGAAATAATATGTCCAATATATAAAAAACAAACGGTTCTATCCGTGGGATTAGTTGGAATATCCTCCCGAAGTGTTTTCGCTCGCGCTGCTGTGGCCCCTGCCAATCAGACTACCTACAAACACAACACACCAGTCCTGGCAAGGTTAATAACGTGACTAGCGCACACGGCTTCCGTTGTGACGTTTTATTAGGGCCGCGCGCTGACCCGTTGAAGATGCTCCAGTTTTGCTCACACATCCTGCTAGGGCATGCAGGAATTAGGGTGTCGGCGTAACGTTACTGAACGCTGTCTCACTTGGGCTCGCCCAGTATTCGGGAGGAAAGGAGAGCACGCGGATCTTCTCGTGCATGTTTATTTAAGACAAACCCTAACCGTTAATTAAATCACAGGTATTCACGCAGGTGAAAACACTGAAAGTAACGCTCATAAAGTGCGACCCCTCTACAGGATCTTCCCCTCTTAGTTACCTCTAAATTAAGTACTGATTACTAACGGTTACAGTAAGATGTGAGTGTGTGTGTGCGCGCAACAACCGACAAACGTAACTCTGATTAGACTGAACTTTTTATTGTCATTGATGTTCAACAGCATTACAAGATAGTGAAATATGCAAAGCTGTGAAAAGTATTATAGAACAAAAATATGGTTGGAACTCTCTGAATTTTCAGGCGTTTCATATGTCATCTTTCTTATTCATTTGAATATTGTCAGGCCGTGGAGATGCCGTAGAAAGATATTTAATTATATAACTATTTTACGAGTATACACTATTTGATGAGGGTGATACACACTGAACTATCGCAAATATACACCATTTGATGATGACGATACACCCGGGATTGTCGAGAACATATACCATTTGATAAGGATGATAAACCCAGGATTGTTGAAAACATACACCATTTGATGACGATGATACACCTAGGATTGTTGAAAATATAAACCGTTCGATGACGATGATACATCCAGGATTGTTGAGAACATACACCATTTGATAAGGATGATACACCCAGGATTGTTGAAAATATACACCGTTTGATGACGATGATATACCCAGGATTGTTGAGAACATACACCATTTGATGATGACGATACACCCGGGATTGTCGAGAACATATACCATTTGATAAGGATGATAAACCCAGGACTGTTGAAAACATACACCATTTGATGACGATGATACACACAGGATTGTTGAAAATATAAACCGTTCGATGACGATGATACACCCAGGATTGTTGAGAACATACACCATTTGATGACGATGATACACCTAGGATTGTTGAAAATATAAACCGTTCGATGACGATGATACACCCAGGATTGTTGAGAACATACACCATTTGATAAGGATGATACACCCAGGATTGTTGAAAATATACACCGTTTGATGACGATGATACACCCAGGATTGTTGAAAATATACACCGTTTGATGACGATGATATACCCAGGATTGTTGAGTTGAGAACATACACCATTTGATGATGACGATACACCCGGGATTGTTGAGAACATATACCATTTGATAAGGATGATACACCCAGGATTGTTGAGAACATACACCATTTGATGACGATGATACACCCAGGATTGTTGAAAATATACACCGTTTGATGACGATGATATACCCAGGATTGTTAAGAACATACACCATTTGATGACGATGATACACCCAGGATTGTTGAAAATATACACCATTTGATGACGATGATACACCCAGGATGTTGAGGTTTTTCATTAAAGCAACGAAGTTTACTTCTGTCAGAAACAAAAAATCCCCCCAAAAGATTGTACATTTACACATTAATAGTTATAACTTCAATACTAACAAATAAAGTGTTTCTTATTTACATAGAATTGGTGGCGTAATTGATAGATGTGACCTTTGACCTGCTTTTTTGTTAGTTTACAGATTCTATATCAGACCATTTGTGAAATATAGTTACTCACTCTCCGTCTGAAACTACAAATCCATAAAAATCTTGCTCTGAAAACTAGGTTAGATTTTCTGACTATACTCCCGAAGTTTTTCTTTACAAACCATCTGCCTCATTATCCATTTATCTACTTTAATCTCCAAGTTCTAGGGAAAGATTTGACCTTTTTTTAAAAAATTTTCTTCGTAAGTTAAAATTTATGTTACTATTTATTCTTTACATCTGGTATTCAGCTTTCCTGCGGTGCTTTAGCGTGATTGTAGTTTATCTTGTTACTTTTTTTTTTTGCGGATAATTATTTTCATTATCCCAAATTTCTTCCAGGTTCCTGTCATTGATGTGTGTGTGTACATGTGAAAGAAATAAGTATTTAAACACAGTTCAGTTTTCTCATCATTAAAATAGAACAAGCCTAAAATTATATACGCACTAACACATTGATTAGAAAATTAATTTGCAAATATATATTAGTGAAATACATGAATAATAATATTTGTAATATGACATAATGATATACATATACTGTGTGTCACGTACAAAGAAGTATCCTAGTTTGTGCAAAGTAGTTTGTTTAAGAACAGTAAGACTAACATGAAATTAAAATGTGACATTCACATAATTTCATATTCGTGTGTACACAACTGTGCCCTCTATCAACGCGATCAGAACGGAATTTTGTATTGTATATCAGTCTTTTTTTATAACCCTTTCTTTTCAGCAGTTCACCAGTGGCTAAGCAGTAAGTCTTTGGCCTTATGACGCTTAAAGTCTTGTTTCGATACCTGTGGATGGCACAGCACAAGTAGCCCATTGTGTAGCTATGTGCTTAACAAAAACAAACATTTTTTTCACTATTTCAATTTCTGAAAAATATATTTCTCTTATACGTTTGTTTTATTTGTTGGTCTGTATTGTCGTCAGGAGATCTTAAGATATATACTTTTTTATTAAATTAAGAGACATGTTTTGACAGATAGATTGCACCAACAAGCCGTCTCAAAAGTTCCAGAATTTTATTTAATTAACAGACATGTTTTGACAGATAGAATGCACCAACAAGCCGTCTCAAAAGTTCCAGAATTTTATTTAATTAACAGACATGTTTTGACAGATAGAATGCGCCAACAAGCCGTCTCAAAAGCTCCAGAATTTTAATTAATTAACAGACATGTTTTAACAAATGGATGCGCCAACAAGCCGTCTCAAGAGCTGCACAGTTTTTTAAATTAAGGGTCATATTTCCATAGATAAGATGGGCCAACAAGCCACACGAGGATCTCCACAGTTTGTTTGTTTTTAATTTTAAAACATGTTTTCATAAATAGGATGCACTAATGAGTTGTCTGAAGAACTCAACAGTTTTTGTTTAATTAAGACATGTTTTGAAAGATAGAATGGGCTAATAAGCCGTCTGAAGAGCTCCATAGTTTTGTTTGTTTTTAATAAAGGGACATGTTTTGACAGATATGATGCGCCAAGAAGCCGTCTAAAGAGCTCCATAGTTTGTTTGTTTTTTAACTAAGAGACATGTTATGACAGATAAGATGCGCCAACAAGCCGTCTGAAGAGCTCCACAGTTTTTGTTGTTGTTTGAATTAAGAGACACGTTTTGACAGATAGGATAGGCTTACAAGCAGCCTAAGGATCTCCACAGTGTGTTTGTTTTTTTAATTAAGAGACATGTATTGACAGATACGATGCGTCAACAAGGCGGCTGACAATCTCCACAGTTTGTTTGTTTTTTCAATTAAGAAACATGTTTTGATAATTAGGGTGCACCAACAAGCCGCCTGAAGAACTCACAGTTTTCGTAAACTAAGAAACACGTTTTGACAGATAGGATAGGCATACAAGCAACCTAAGGATCTCCACCACAGTTCTGTTTTTTTAACTAAGATACATTTTTTGAAAGTTAGTATGCGCCAACAAGCAGTCTAAAGAGCTCCACAGTTTTTGTTTAATTAAGAGACATGTTTTGATAAATAGGATGCGTCAACGAGCCGTCTGAAGAGCTCCACAGTTTTTTGTTTTTTTTTTAATAAAGAGACATGTTTGACAGATAGGATGCTCTAAGAAGCCATCTAAAGAGCTCCACAGTTTGTTTTTCTTACTAAGAGACACGTTTTGACAGATAGGATAGGCCTACAAGCAGCCTGAGGATCTCCACCACAGTTTTGTTTTTAAATTAAGAGACATATTTTGACAGTTAGTATGCGCCAACAAGCTGTCTGAAGAGCTCCACGGTTTTGTTTTTCAATTAAGAAACATGTTTTGATAATAGGATGCGCCAACAAGCCGTCTGAAGAACTCACAGTTTTAAACTAAGATACATGTTTTGACAGATAGGATGCGCCAACAAGCTGTCTGAGGAGCTCTAGAGTTGTTTTAACTAAGAGACATGTTATGACAGATAGGATGCGCCAAAGAGCCGTCTAAAAAGCTCCAGAGTTTGTTTTTCTTACTAAGAGACACGTTTTGACAGATAGGATGCGCCAACAAGCCGTCTGAAGAGCTCCACAGTTTTTGTTGTTGTTTGAATTAAGAGACACGTTTTGACAGATAGGATAGCCCTACAAGCAGCCTGAGGATCTCTACAGTGTGTTTGTTTTTAAATTAAGAGACATGTTTTGACAGTTAGTATGCGCCAACAAGCTGTCTGAAGAGCTCCACGGTTTTGTTTTTCAATTAAGAAACATGTTTTGATAAATAGGATGCGCCAACAAGCCGCCTGAAGAATTCATAGTTTTTAAACTAAAAGACATGTTATGACAAATAAGATGCGCCAACAAGCCGTCTGAAGAGCTCCACAGTTTTTTGTTTAATTAAGAATCATGTTTTGATAAATAGGATGGGCCAACAAGCCGCCTGAGAATCTCCACAGTGTGTTTTTTTAATTAAGAGACGTGTTTTGATAAATAGGATGCGCCAACAAGCCGCCTGAAGAATTCATAGTTTTTTTAAACTAAAAGACATGTTATGACAAATAAGATGCGCCAACAAGCCGTCTGAAGAGCTCCACAGTTTTTTGTTTAATTAAGAATCATGTTTTGATAAATAGGATGGGCCAACAAGCCGCCTGAGAATCTCCACAGTGTGTTTTTTTAATTAAGAGACGTGTTTTGATAGATAGGATGCACCAACAAGCCGTCTGAAGAGGTCCGCAGTTTTTTGATTGTT